AGTCAGTCAAACTTAACTTATGACTTGAGCAAAAGTGAAAATGTCTGTGATAGGATTTTAGTGCACAAAATAAAACCCTGCCATACTGAGATTGCGGAATAAATAACAGCTGTTTTTACCATACCAATAGCAAAAAAATAAAATAAATTAAACAATTTTAAAAATAAATAAATTTTTTAAAAACCCAGCCCAACCTACTTTACACAACTGCATTTCTGAGTGTGACAATGTAAAGAAACGGTCAAGATAATAAACTCACTACCGAAGAGAATTACGGGCGATCCCTCATGCAAGTTACAAGAAATAAAGAAATGGCATGCACATATATATATATAAAACATAGGTGTGACCTATATATATATATAAATAGGTTCCCATTATTATGTAGCCAGAGTCAGTCGACTCAGTGACCCTGTGTTCAAAACGTGAGCTGTAACAAAACCAGCGCTTGAGCAATGCACACAAACTATCAGTGTGCTGATGACTGAGTCAGTCTTCAATAACTTAGCATGCTACTCAACACAACAGCATTTCTGAATTTCTGAGCTCCTAAGCACACTACTATTCAACCTAACGGCATTTTTCAGCCAATGAGCACGCTACTCAACTTAACAGCGCTTTTTGAGTAATCTGACCCAAATCAACTCTCTACTCAACTTAACGGCATTTCTCTGCCACTAAGCACACTACTCAACGTAACAGCGCTTTTGAATAATCTGAGCCAAATCAACACACTACTCAACTTAACGACACTTCTCTGCCACTAAGCACATTACTCAAATTAACGCACGGCATTTCTCTGCCACTAAGCACACTACTCAACTTAACGACATTTCTCTGCCACTAACTACTCAACTTGATGGCATTTCTCAATTAGTTGGCTCGCTTCTAAGCTCAACAAGATTTCTCAGCAGCTCAGCCTATTCGAGTTCGACTCAGCTCGCTACTCAAGTTAAGTTAAAAACTTTTTTCACAGCTGCTCAGCCTATTCGAGTTCGACTCGGTGAGCTACTCAACATAACAGCATCATTCAGCCTCTCAGCCGATTTGAGGGATATGTTGTTTTGTTTGTTTTAGTAGAGGTTTTACGGCGCTTGTGACTGCATAAGGTCATATGAGCACCAAAGGGGTGGATGTCAACAGAGAAGTCTTTACAGGGAATCAGACTTACTCTGCTCACCTCTCTAGCTTCAACAGCATAAGAGGGTTATGTTGGATGTTTTTTGTCCCAACAACAATACATCTTTCAGGAAGCTTGTTTTATTGGAGAGGCTAAAGACTGTTGAATTAAAGTATCACAGACAACTTCCACCCAAGTTTCATGTCCATGTTTCATGCATTTGTATTCGTTGAATTTTTCCCTCATTTATAGAAATGAAGTACTTGATCTTGCTTTACAACACTGTCACAAATTGGGTTTTAGAAAATCTTGGAGTTGGCTCATCTGTACCTGACATCATCGATGCACAAAAGAAGAAAAACCAAACTTTTTTTTCCTGCATAAAAATACAAAACTGAGCACAATACCAAAAGACCCCCTGACACAAATTAAATACAAACAAAAAAAATTTCACCCCAAAACTTTTCTCCAGACAACGAAAAATACAATTTTAAAAAAGTACTGATCATTTCACTGGCATCAGCCCCCCTTCTACAAAGAGATAACAAGAGAAAATACCAAAACCTTTCTAAACAAACACATATATATCTGTAGAATTCCTGTCATGTCAATAACTATTCCCATTGACATTCTAGACTGACAATAATAATAATAATAATCGTAAGGATAACAAAACAAGTTTCTAGTTGTAAACTTAAGGCATATATTGTCCTTTTTCCCCTAAGCAAAAAAAAAAAGGATTCATTATACGATATCAAAAAATATTTTCCTTTGGTCACTTCCACAGTAAATGTTTGTGAGAAGAGAAATGCTGTCTGAGTTACCGAACAGCTGGGGGGAAATATCACAACGGGAAGCTTATTGAGACAGATTAGAGTTGTGGAGGTAGGCAGTGGGGGGGGGAGTTGAACCATGGGGTGGGGATACTTGAGAACATAACTTCCACACACAGGAACCACAGTCACATCTTTGCGTGCACACTAGCCAAATGGCCAACCGTAACACAATCAAAACTGTTTGATGACGATGCAAAATGCTGTATGTGCTATAGCCCTTTCCCCAGCATATACCATTGTGTTTTATTACCATACACCATTGTGTTTTATTACCATACACCATTCTATTTCTATACTATACACTATTATGTGCCCACACCATAATATACCATTACGTTAGTGTGTATAATTTCAATAGTCGAAAAAAGAATCCAACAATGATGTTATGAATACATAGATTTTCTTGGAAAACTTGGATTGTTTATATTGTAGCTGGAGCCAGAGTCCTACTGTACTTTTGTTTGGACTTGACGTACAGAGACAAACAGCTCTACAGACGTGGAAGAAATTCACAGATGAGCGACAGAGTGAACCAGTCTTTTCCTAAAAAACTTGAATGTCAATTCAAGTACAAGTTGTACTATACTGCCGTTTTTGTTTTTGAACTGTATTTGTTTTGTTTTGGTGAGCGGGGATTCAAACAGAACAGGAAAGAATTCCTACATTGAGCTGTTCTAGGAGTTAGCCGTGGCTAAATGCTCCTACAGTGAGGTATGAAACAGTTGATGTTCTGAATAAAACAAACTTTGAGCCCATTCGGTGAGCTTGGACACAAAGAAATGAATTTGGCAGAAATTCGAAAAGAAAATAATCTCACAGAAAAACGTGTAGCAACGAAACAAAATGAGTCTCTTGTTGCACCCAAGTTATTTTAAGACAACAGACAAAAACCTCGATTTTTCTCAACAACTGTGTTTCTGACTCCCACTCCTCGATCGATAAAAACAACAACAGCCCACTCCCAAACTTCACAAGACTATTACTTTGGTGTCTAAGCAGACAGACTAATATTTTTTCATCCACTTGTAGAACTTAAACAGATAATATTTAATTTGATAACAATATTGTTATCTTTTCAAAATGTGACATATGGCTCATTTTGTAGCATTGCTACTCAAACGAGTTTTGGTGAAAATGTTCCAGTGACAACAAGGGAACAGGTTGGTCACGCTATGACCCTCTGACTATCGGGGAAATACAAGATGTTGGTCCAAAGTTCCAGCGACAGCGAAACAAAAACAAAATGGCAGTCCTGTGCTCCAGCGAACAGCGAGAGAAAAAACAAGATGGCCGTCTGAGGCTCCAGCGAACAGCGAGAGAAAAAACAAGATGGCGGTCCTACTGCTGTTTACAGTTTCCTTTGTCCTTTTTTCCCTCGGCTGACGTGGGCTTCTTCTGTTTGCGGGACTTTGAGTTGTCCCCGCCGCCCCGCCTCTGTCCTTGCACGGGCTGCAGCGATGACATCACAGCGTCCCCGCCCATCCCAGACATTGATGTCTGGCCCGACGCACTCGACACTGTGGAGTCTGGGGGGAGCGGGAGGGGAGAGGTTAGTGTTTGATTTATTGGAGAGAGGGAGGGAAGGAGGGAGAGTTTTGTGTTTGTCTTATTGGAGGGAGAGAGGGAGGGAGAGGTTAGTGTTTGTCTTATTGGACAGGGAGGGAGGGAAGGAGGGAGAGGTTAGCATTTGTCTTATTGGACAGGGAGGGAGGGAGAGGTTAGTGTTTGTCTTATTGGAGAGAGGGAGGGATGGATAGAGAAGGAGAGGATGGGCTTTGTCTAATCAAAGGAAAGGAGGGAGGGAGGGAGAGAAAGAGAGAGAAGGAGTTGAGGGAGAGGAGGAGGAGGAGGAGGAAGAGAAGGAGGAAGAGGAAAGGATCTGTTTCATCAAACAGGGAAGGAGGAATGGAGAAGGAGTCAGAGAGGGAGAGGTGAAATGAGGGGGAGAAGGAAAGGGAGAGGTGGAGAAGAAAGAGTGAGAGAAAGAAAGAGAGGGAGGGATGGAGGGGTGGGGAGGGAGGG